CGTTCACACTCACAGCTCGGACATGCCGTAAGGGGTTTAGGGAGTCTAAGGTTTTATGATATGGGTTGTATGGGGCTTATGGGGCCTTTAAGGCTTATGAGGCTTATGGGGTTAAGGGTTTCGCTGCGGGGACCCAACCTCGACATATTCGCCACAGCATCATGTAGCAAGCTCAAACCAAAAAACAGCCCAGCCTAAACCCCTGAATCCCGAAGATGTATCCATTGTTTCCGGGACCCCGCGCCGTGCAGGTCGACAAAGTAGCCCTTCCTGAGCTGTTCAGCAAATCGGGTTGACAGACTCGATGACAAGAACAAGGAATACTGGACACGACGGAGGCAGTGATTGAACATGCATGTGACACACTCCGCCGCAAGCCAAAACGCAGCAAAACTCCTCCTCCTTCTCCTCCTCCTCCTCCTGCTGCTGTTTCTTCTGCTGCTGGCCACGACGACGACGACGACGAGGGTCACGATCACTACCGTTAGTCACATTCTTACTTCCTTCCTTCCGTCGTCGACTCGTCCTATCGATAATGCGCTTTGCATTGCTATCACTACTGATTTTGACAGTCATGACGAGGGCCATGAGCAGTGTTGCCGGTGTTGTCCTGATCCGCATCTCGAGTTGTATAGGAGTTCAAACGCATACGACAAGCAACTTCCAAGCCCGCCAAGGAGGAAACAGGGGTTGCGTCCTCCACCCTCAACCTGTATTGCCTGGCGATGATTTTCCCGTCATACTGAAGCCGTACAGGCCAGTATCCTATTCTCATTATTGAGCCCCTTAGCGCCTCGAAATATGTAGGAGATCACAAGACATACGATACCCTATTCTAATTCTAACTATACCCTAAACCCTAAACCCTAAGCCCCTTATCATACATTGCATCACTGGCTCTCTTCATCCTCCGCCAGCGTGCCCACAGTATCGATCTCCTCTCGCGTGGGTGGGTCACCTCTGCTGTGAGCTGCTGAATGCTCGCTGTGCAATGCTTAGGGTTTAGGGTTTAGGGTTTAGGGGGATTCTGCCGTTCTCGCAGGGCTTGAAGTTCGCCGCTGATGGGACCCGTTCCTCGGACCCTGCGCTTGCGAGAAAAGGGCTTCCGCACTCCAGCTCTCAGATGTTTGCGGTGCAATTTAAATTGTCAACGACTGGCGCGGGTTTCGGCTTAGGCTCACCCTTCCAGCCCTGCACCCCCATAGCCTAAAGCCGAAGCTCCAAACCGCCCTCAAACTCTCGACCAGGCTGCTTTCCAGAGCTTTTGCCACATCTTTGGGCAGGTCGATGTCCATGATGGAGCTGACCTAAAAACTTGAAATCAGATAATTTTGTGAAGCTCCTCCATACTCATGGTGAATGGCCTCTGGGCCTTCACCTTTTGCATCTGGCTCGCTTTGTGTGTTCATCCCGTCCTTTCGTTTTCAATGACGGAATCTTACTCAGTCTTCTATACTTTTCCCGTTCAGTCAGCGCGAATTTTCGAATTGATTCTGTTGGGAGAAGATGGGAGAAGTGTTTCTGGGACGATGAAGTACAGTGAGGTGAGCCGAAACCTTCTCGGCTTCTTGCATGACATATCTCTCCTATGACTTGGGATTGCCATGTCTGGTTCAATTGTTCCCCCCAACCGACGGAAAAAAAAAACTTGTCCAAGGTTTACAGTCCGGGGTACGGGGGTAGGGGTTCAGTTGGGGCTCGGCTTGGCAGTAAAGAAAAGCTTGTTTTGTGTCCAGGCTTCCCAAGCTATGCTACACCTAGCCTTGAGCTCGAATAAGGGTTCAGGCTTTGGAGTTGAGGGCAACTGATGCTTCAGAGTTCTGCCGTCATGGTGCCCAGCACGAGATCCTGGTGTCGTGCTCCAGCTTCAACCACCTGAGGTGTAAACCCTTCATCCGACTCCACAGTTTGCGGCATCGCGTATGCACGCTGAGGCTGGTAGGTTCAGCGCGTAGTCTTGAATTTCGGTTTTCGAGGCGTAGGGCGACGATTCGAGCGACAGTGGAAGTCCGAGCTGCTCCGAGACTGACCAAGGTGTCAAGAAGCAAACACACACACACACACACTGCGGAGCCTCCAGAAGAATGAATTCTCCATACCCTCTGTACAAGTCGTTGGGATGAGCCTGAAGCGAATGTGACACCTGTAGTACGCCATCAATTTGGCAAGGGCATGACCATATCACCATTACCATCATGTTCATCTCGAATCGTACCATCGCCATTACAGTCCACATCAACATCATCATCTTCGTCTTCATCATCACACAGTCATTGCAGGAGTTTGCTCTGCCGATTGAAACGATGGCCATGATGACGATAATGATGATGCTGATCGTGATGATGATGATTATGATGAATATGACTCAGTCCCACCGTCGGTACGAAGCGCACTGCGTCGAGGCTTTCTCCATAGCAATCCTTCTGCTGCAAGGATTTTTACTGTCAGTATATGAACCCGAAACCCTAATCCCTAAACTAAACTTTCTGACTCATGAGAAAATCCCAGGCACTTCTCGGCCACCGCCCCTGCAGCCACACGGCCAATAGTCTCGCCTCAGAGACTCCCTTACCGGGGGCTTTGGCCACAGAGGGCTCACCCAAAAACCCGGACACCCTAAACCCTGACGTGATCCTAAACCGACAAGCAGGATACCAGTGACGACTTTGGCGTGAATCGCCTATAATGACTGATGTAACCTAAACCCTCAACCGCAAACCTTTAAGGTTTCGGGCTTGAGCTTTGGACTGGCTCGGACAAGTCCAGGCGAGGCTTTCTGGGGGTTTACGCTTTCACACTAGGTGCAAACTCGCAAGAGCTCCGCAAGGCTCCCCAAAAAGGAGTCCTGATAATAGGCTTTAGGGTTTCGTCGACGCTCACACCCGGACCATCAGGCGAAGCATGTGATCTTAAGTCGGCGAGGTTTAGGGTTTAGGAGTCTTGACAACCGGCTTTTACATTAGGGTCCCCCGGTTCGCTGGAACTCGTATAGCCAACACTAAGCCCAGAACTCTAAATCCAAAAACAAACTTTCAAACCGAAGCCCTGAATCCTACGGAATGAAACAAGGCCGGGCCACGTGCCGACGCCCTGCCGCCGCCTGACGAGGCTCGCGTTCCGTATTTCACCTCTCAGGGATACTGTGGCCGTCCGGCCGCTCCAACTCAGGGTTCATGGTAGAGGGCTCAGAGTTTAGAACGTCGGCGTAACTTCTTAGGGTCCGTCTTGAACTTCGACGCTTCGATCAGGGCTGGCAGACTGGGCATGGTTTCCGCGGTGCTACTTCACACAGAACTTTCACGGTCCTTTGTCCCTTTCTGTAGCAGGCCTGGTTGTCAGTCAAACCCACCCTTCCCTAAACCGCAAACCCATCCACCCTGGCCAAGGCCTGCCTGGTAGGTGTAGTCCGCATGGCCAGGCCGCGGCGCTGCTGAGGTGTTGGCGTAGTCGAACTTCCTTTGATCCTCCGAAACTGCTAGGGTTTAGGGTTTTGGGTTTTGGGTTCAGGGGCTTAGGGATTCGGGGCAGTACTTACCTTTCGTTAATAGGGGATGGAAGAATGGTAGTACTAGTAGTTATAATTGTACCTCATTCCTCCATTCCCTACGAACCAAAGGTAAGGAATCATGACATGGGTTCAGGGGCTTAGGGATTCCCAGGTTCACCTGATCTATTCTGACTCCTACTACTACTACTACTACTACTACTACTACTACTGCTTCTGCTGTGTTGCCTGAAGCATGTCAAATCCTCGCTTCTAGAATGTCGGGTGGACTAGCTTGTAGATTTCACTGTACAGTGGCTTCGGGTTTAGGGTCCAAGGAGTCTTGTGTTTCTTTGAACGACCCTTCTCCGTCTCGCTAGGATTGTGTTTAGAGTTTAGGCTTTAGGTCAAGCTCAGGCGCAGCACGCGAATATCTTCGGCACCTGCCCAGGGAACGACACCTGCAATCCAGGTACCTAAGGGTTGAAACTCGAGCACTGCACCCTTGGCCCCCAGCAGCCCGTGGCACTTACTACCATAAGAATGCTGTTGCACGCGCGGCTGCGCCCTAAACCCGATCCCGAGCCCGAAACCCCGAAGCCCGATTTGCGAGTTTAGGGTTTAGGGTTACACGATTTCGGCTCTCGCACATCTTAGGATCTTAGCAGCCATTGAAACTCTGCCTTCCTCAAGATCTGGAAGGCTGGAGGGCCTGGAACCTCCAAGCCCAGGGCACCTCTCTGCTTTGCAGCGTTCTAAGCCCTACACCTGAATTCCTCAACCCTCACCCCCGAAACGCGAAACCCTCGCCCTTACATCCCTTACGGGTAAAGATCACAAGGGAGGTCCGTCGTTCATTTATGTTCATTTCTCCTGGTTGCGGACCATCATCGCAATTGGAGTGCCCAAAGTCATGCCATTCTCCTCAGACGGAAGGAACTTGAGCTTAGGCTTTAAAAGTTCATATTAGGTGAGGACGCATGGCCGGCAGCACAAACAGAGACCGTTGGCTTCACGAATGCAACACCAGCGCAACCTTCACATGTCTCGCAGTGCTGACAGCATTTTTCCGTCATCGCTGCATGAAGCGAAACCGTCTTCAGAAACACAATGCATCGGCTGCCACTCAATGTACCGAAGTGTTTTGGAATCTGCGGCGAAACCTCGCATCAACTTGGTGTCACTAGCTTGCCCCTGCCACAAACTCCAAATGTCTCCGATTCTATGAATGGCCATGTGGCTGTACAGATAAAGCAAGCCCACAGCCGTGGGCAGCTCGATTGAGGCAAGCTAAAACACAAAGGCTAAAGTTATGGCTGCTTCCACGCCGTTGTTGCAGGCATGCCGCAGCTGCGTCTGCATGGGCAGACGCAGTCGGACCAAAACTTTCGTTCCTGGGTTGTAATTTTGGGGCACTGACAAGCATTTATGAATAGGTACCTCTACAAGAACCAAAAAACGGTGAAAGTTACAAAGTTTCCCAAATTGCCACCCAGGTTCGTTCGTCTCCACCCACTTACAACCTTGCTTGTCCGGCTCCGGACTTCTTGAGCCCCTCCAACTCCTCCTTCAGCCTCAGCTTCAGAATGTTTCGGGGTTTGGGAGTTTGGAACCTATGCTTTTTTTCGCCTCCTGTATTGAGGGTGTAGAGTTTTTCCTTAAGTGCGTAGGGTTTGGGGTTTCGGATTTCGGGTTTAGTGTTTAGGTGACATTTCTTGCGAAGAGGGTTCCACGGACATGCACAAATCACGAAGCAAGGTTCCTCGCACCCCAACCAACCAACAGCAATAAAGAACATCTTCATAAAGAACATCTTCACCAACTTCCCCACAACGCACCAAACTCTGCAGCCTAAACCCCACACCGCAAACTCTAAAGCCCAGACCCCACTGGACAATCAAAACTTTAAACTTTCCTTCTCCCCAGGACCGTAGGAGCGCTTCAAGACAGTAAAACTCATCAGAACCGAAGATGAGGAATCTTCTTAGAATGTTGACGGAGCTCTGTAGACTAGACTCTAGACTAAAGCTCGTATTTCAACTCCTGCCACAAAAGTGCAGCAAAAGATCCAAAACCCTAAACCCTGATGCGAGAACTAAACGGCGCATCAAAAGTTCTAGGGCTCAATGACTCCTCATATGCAGCCATTGGGCTCGGGTGGCACAGTGCTGAGGGTGTGAACTGTCGCAGCTGTGGTTTCGACTTTGGGTTTGGAGTTCGAACCCTAGCTCAACCTTCCAAAAGCCCGTTTCAAACCCGGACTGGGGCCGATGCATGTGTTCCGAAAACTCTAGGATCCCAAACGCCGGCTTCAGGATCTCGGGTTTACTTGGAGGATCATGGGACTTAGCAGGTAAGGTTATAAGTACCTTGATTGGGGTTATAAGTAGTTATAAGTATAGTTACCCTAGATATAACCCTAGTTACTAAGTCCCATGATCCTGTAAGTAGGAGATCCCATGCCCAGTCGGGCGGCTTCTTGATCGTCGCGTCCCTGGGATCCGGCGTGGGCCTCTTCACGAAGCGAAGGCTGCCAGCGGCCAGGTTAAGCATGATCTCCTCCGAAGACACAACGACCCAGAACTTCCAAAATCCCTTAATTAATCTTAAATCATATTCGGGATCCTACCATAATTTCAGGTATATTCCTTAATTAAGAGTTTTTGGAAGGTCTGGGGAAGTGTGGGGTCTCTACAACAGTCTTGCATAAGTTCTTGATTTTTAAGAGGCTGGTGTGTCCTCCGATTGCAAGACGGAGGGACACCAGAACTGCAGGCTCTACACCTGTAACGCTTCCATGGGCGTGGGGAAGCACTGAGCTTCTAGCTCGCTCAACCCAGCACCGGAACTGAATACGCCAAGTCACTACCAAATCTCGACCTGGCACACTGGCGCCCTTGCAGAAACCAACACACCCATAGCACAAACTCCCAAAATCCCTGACTACAGGCTTAAGCCAAGAAGCCCCATCCTGAGACCTCTTGACTGTTGCTACAAACGTGTGATCTCCTCGCTTCCACCTGGAATGGCCCAGGCTTTCACCTCTCGGTACACACGCTCCACCTGGAGGGGTCCACTCTAAAGGGGGGGGTATTTGTTACCAGGAGCTTAGGAAACTAGTATGGGATGGCTGTCCTAGCAACACCAACTTTATGCAGGACTGAAGCTACAGCAGTGAGTACTGGTAGCTGCTACGAGCATTATGAAGAATGCCTGCCGGGAGAACCTAACATGTTGCGACATCCTGTACGAACCCGCGATACCGCCTCTTCTCGCGGTTGATATACGACTTGATAGCTTGTCTGGAGTGTTAAACGCGGTAGACTTCGACACAGCGCAGCTTGGGATGCAAGCATGCGTGCCATTAAGGCCAGTGTACCAAGTGCTACAGCGAGTTAGCATATTGCAACACGTCACCGCGCACATGCAGGTCCGAGGCCGCTCATAGCGCATGACAACAACAGCGACGGGTCGGGCTTCGTCACCCTACGACTGTCATTATCCAGATGATTGCATAAGCATCCAAAATGCTTGAATAATGATCCACATGAATGGGTGATAGCCTGGACTCCACAAAAGTGTTGCCTTCTCGCCCTGGCCGGTGCGGGTGTAGCCAGCACCACCGAAGACCTGCAGGGCCTCTCGGGCGCAGTACTCCACCGTCCTCGGCCGGTATTGACAGCTACGATAAGCGTTGTTGATCTTTTCTGCAAGGTGGCAATGTGACTACGCCCTCGGCACTGTCGCGTTGACAGCTGCCATTATGTGCTGCCATGGCCTGTCCCATGTGCCCGCCGCAACCGGAAGGAACTTTTTCGAGTTGGATGCAGCCAACGAAGAACCGAAAAGCTATGTTCCAGGCAGGGGCAAGTGGCTTGGTGGCCGAAACCTTCAGCAGGGCGATGTATCCACCGAGCTTCTTGTTCTGCTCCTCCTTGGTCCTTGGCCACTCTGGCAGTCACTCAAACTTTCAGCCGCTTCTCGCGACTACGCTGCATATATCGATGCGCGCCTTCCAAACAGGAGCCTTCTCCACTACTGATTATTGTTTCTGCACAGAAAAAACTCTCCCAGACCGAGTCCAAGATCATGGTGGTGAGCTGGAAAGTCCTCGGCTTTCGGCTCAAGATCTAGACCCATCTTGCGATACAGAGACACGCCGGTCAAATGCATGGCTAAAGACTCCGGTCGAACATCTCAAGCGCGGAGCTAGAAGCTAAAAATCTCCACAACTCAAAACCCAACGCCCCGTCAGCAAAGCCTTCTCAACTACCTCCCGTTTCCAGCGCACCTTAAACCGCTTGAAAGAAACAACCTCTGACCCTAAACCCTAAACCCTAACTCTACCTGCGAACCTCGCTGCAACGACGATGGAGCCTAGTGTCAGATAGTCGATCCAGGCTTGCAAAGCCTCGCACTGACGACCCATCTCGCCGATCTTGTGCTGGATGACCTGCGGTTTATAGGGGTTTAGGATGGTTTAGGGGTTTAGGGTTTAGGATTGGTTTAGGATATTGAAACCATGAGTTTTGGGGCACGGAAATTTAGGATCTAGGCACAAGGATCGGCCTGGTGCTCGATGAGGAACTTGCCAAACGTCCGTCGCTTGCGTGCGAACTTCAGGGACTCCTCCCGTGGGCTTAGGGCTCAGGCTCTGAGGGTAGGAAGCACGGGATGGAGGTGTTTTTTTGGAGCTCCTTTTTATGATATATATATATATATATATATACCCAACCATGGGATGGAGGGTTTAGGGCAAGTTTAGGGCCGTAGGCTTTTGCATCGTAGCGTCTTTGTGTTTTTGGGGACCGGCTTAGCGAAGATGATCATCACTATTGTCCGCCGACGAAGCAGAGACTGGCTTTCCCCCTTCTTCTCGTCATCGTTGCAGCTAGGTAGATGCAGCTACTTTGCTTACTTAGAGACTTACATGGCTTAGTTGTGATCATCGTCACCATCCCCTTCTTCCAAATCAGGCAAAGGCTTAGTGAGGGCGTTGCTCACAATGCATGGAACTTTCTACTTCGCTCCAACCTTGCTGCCCTCGCGGTAGCCCTCTCTTGCGCAGCTCCTCCACGCAGACGCGGGCTCCGCGGTTGGCCTGGACGAGGAACATCCACCTCTCGTGGTTGAAGTTGTACATCGCCTGCATGAAGCCACCGTTCAGCTTGCCGATGATGTTGGTCTTCGGCACCTTCACGTTGTCGAAGGTGATAAAGGTGGTGCCACTGGACCACATGCCCGTGCAGTCCATCTTCCTCGTCTCGATTCCCGGCATGGATCTCTCCAGCAGGAGCATGCTCAAGCCCTTCTGGCGCGAGCCGGGCGGTCCGGTCTGCACGATCACCGTGAAGTAATCGGCGTAGATGCCGTTGGTGATCCACTTCTTCTCGCCGTTCACCAGGAAATGGTCTCCGGCATCCTCGGCGCGGCATGCCAAGCCAGCAACATCACTTCCTGCAGAGGCCTCCGTGATGCAGAGGCAGATGACCTTCTCCCCGCTGAGGCACTCCCTGATGCATCGCGCTTGAAGATCTCGGTCGCCCGGAACTCCGAAGTTCACCACTGGAGGCAGGCCGATGCTCAAGCCCCCAAGCACCGCCCAAGAGATGCCCCCGCTGATGCGCGTGGTCTCCTTCGCAGTGCTGCTTGCTGCTTTTTTGGTGTCTGTAAGGTCTATCTGACTCTGCTGATGTGTGTTTGTGCCTGCGAAGAACGTTACAAGTGCTACAGTACCGGACACTCAACAAACGGAAAGACTGCTCACTGCTCAAGGACAAGGCACGTCGATCACGATGAGCTCGTGGAAGTTGTCATAATCCTCCGGTGGTGTGCAGTTCGTGTAATCCTTGGGCCAAGGCTTGCCCACGGCACAGGCCAGGATTCCCCGCTTGCCGCCTTCGGCATAGGTCTGGTGCATGTACTCGTGGCATTTGTCCAAGTTGCCCTTCACCGCGCACTGCTCCCAGTCGTCCAGCACCGGCTCCAGAACCTCCTCGCAGTAGTCGCGCACATACTTCCGCCAGGCAGCATGCGTGGGCTTGTAGAAAGGCGTGTTCAGGCCCTGGTACCAGGCGGGATCGCCAAGGGGGACGGCATCACCGAACGGAGGGAGGGCTGTCATGCTGGCAGTGATCTATATCTCTCGACAGGTTGCAGAGCAAAGGGCTTGGGCCAAAATTGCTATCAAACCAATCTCTTCCGGCAAGAGCCGGCCTCCACCCTTCAGGGTCCCAGTGGCTCATTGCGCCTTGTCCCTGTGTTTCGTGGGATCTGTGTGCCGTCTTCGGAGCAACTTCACAGCTGTACAAATGCATTGTGTCCACAGCCGATAGCGGCCAGATTCACAATACCAACAGTCAAAATGGGTTTGCCTGCTTCCACGCCTGTGCTAGTGGCATGCCGCAGCAAATAGTTCGGAAACAAAAGAAACAAGTACGCCGCAGCGTCTAGCCAGTGGTAGTGGTGCTGCCATATCCGTGGATGACTCCACAATCGCACTATATACACAGATGTAACGCAATATCATGCGAGTAAAGCTTGATGAAATATGCCAGTCAGCACCTTACCGAAATCAATCTCGGCCCTCAATGCCACCCTGTCTTTACAGCCGTGCTTGGCCACCTGCGGATTTTTTCAGTCCTTCCAATTCCTCCTTCAACCTCGGTGGCATCAGGTGGGAGTTTCCGACCTGTCGCACCTTAAACAGTAGGATCCCTATGATAAGGCCCCCAAATAAAGGTACCCCTAATTTTCAGAAACTCCCAGCTCTTGTTGGCTCAGATGATCTTATGGAAGACTTCGGAAAGGCTCAAGTAGCTTCAACTTGCTTCAGACCTTTTTGCATCCAGGCCTCTCGCTTCAGACCTGACACCTTGATCCCTATGTAAACCTTGTGGAACCCATTTAGAATTACAACCCTTATGGCAAGGCAACTACGACCCCCTCACATCCAGGGCCGGGGGCAGTGGGGAAAACACTCCTCGCTTCAGAGGCACCGCAGGTGGAAGTAAGAAAAGCACAGCTTCACACAAACATGTAACCTCAGTGCGCCCTGCGTCCAAGACCGACCAAGCAGTAGTTAAAAGTATAGTTACTCTAAGTATAACCCTAGTTACTAAGTCCCATGATCCTTTAAGTAGGAGATCCCATGCCCAGTCGGGCGGCTTCTTGATCGTCGCGTCCCTGGGATCCGGCGTGGGCCGCTTCACGAAGCGAAGGCTGCCGGCGGCAAGGTTGAGCATGATCTCCTCCGGATTCTCTACTATTGAAACTTCGGCTACTCAACTTCAGCGCCTCATATGCCTCATAATGCTCTTAGACTCCCAGATGGTGTTGAAGAGGTCCCCAGGAGGCGATGGGACAAGAGATGCTTTAGGTTTCGGCAGTCACGACTAGGCACAGCCGGGCGAGGTCTCTGCCAGTCTGGTCGAAGAAAGCTGGGCTTGGCCTCATTTCAAAGCTGGCTTTGAGATACAGTTAGTAAACCGGTACCGTAGCATGTCCGCCATGCGCGGCTCAGGAAATCGTCTAAAGCGTCCGAAACCCCACTCTTCAGCAGGGACTGCAATGCACTAAGCCTCGGATCCCTTCAGCTAAGCCCCAATGTGAGCTCTCATGGCTGCCTGAACACCGATCCCCGAACCTTCAGTTACGCGAGTCGGGTACAGGATCCTGTGTTTCGCCTCAAGCTTCCGGAAATGTTAGTCGATTTTTCCGGGTTCGGGTATTCGCTTGCAGCCTCAAGCGCATGGGCCTTGATCAAGTATCCTATCCTATGGGAGGAGGCCTTCGGCGTCCTGAATCGCCTTGACGCTGACTCATACCCTAGACCGTAAACCCTACTCTCCCAAACCCTGAAACCTAAACCCAAAACCCAATCGAGCGTCCCCCAACAAGCCGATGATGTCCTCGCTTCCGCCTGGGATGGCCCAGGCCTTCACCTCACGGTAGACGCGCTCGACCTGCGAGAAAGCGCGCACGGAAGAAGACAAAAAGCGGAGGCTCTTAAACAGCAGCCTACAAGGGTTGCCCTTGTTGCCAAAAAAATTGGAAAGGCTTCCAGGTCTTATATGGGGGCCTCAATCGGTCTCAATAGTTAGAACGGTGGAAGGCGCATATTGCCATCTTGCAACTCGATGTTACGTCTCATGTCCTGAGGCTTGTCGCTGTGCTTCACGAAAAACGTAGGACGGCAGCAAACCAAGCCGGAAACTGCTGTGCTGTGGCGTGCCGATAGTTGCCTTCTCGCCCTGGCCAGTGCGGGTGTAGCCAGCACCACCGAAGACCTGCAGGGCCTCTCGGGCGCAGTACTCCACCGTCCTGGGACAGCAGGAAGTTGAGATTGGAAGTTTCCGATAATTTAGGGCGCACCTTATTCTGGTGGTCCTTATCATGCGGATCCTGCTATTTCGGGGAAATTAGGGTCCCCCATCTTCCTGAGCACGAGCAGCTTTAGTTGAAGGAGTGTGGGAGTCGCTTTGGACTTTGTGGGGGACCAGGGTCTGGGTTTCATGCTGACGAGCGGCTTCGTGGCCGAAACCTTGAGGAGGGCGATGTAACCACCGAGCTTCTTGTTCTGCTCCTCCTTGGTCCTGGGTCGGCAAGGCGCAAGCTGCAGTGCTGCGGACTGCTGGCGAAAGCAACTGAAAAACTCCTGCTGGGAAATGATGCCTCAGACATCACTCAACCTTCAGAAGAAAATTGTTGCCAGAGTGAGTTTAGGATCATCGTGGTGAGCTGGAACGTCCTCAGTTTTCCAGGAAGCATGTGCAACGACTATGGCCGAAGATTGTCAGCCCGGGGCATCAGGCCTCCACTCCCGACCACAGACCCGAACTAAACCCTCAGCCCTACACTTTAGGGGTTTAAGGGGTTCGGGGTTTAGGGTTTAGGGGTTTTGGTGGTTTTGTGGTTTAGGAATGTTTAGGGGTTTGGGGGGCTTTGGGGCAGAGCGTCAGGTAGTCGATCCAGGCCTGCAGGGCCTCGCACTGGCGGCCCATCTCGCCGATCTTGTGCTGGATGACCTGCAGCTTTTTTTCCCTCCTACCTAGCCTGCGGCTTAGGGGACTGAAGTTCAGGGGTTTTGGGGTCGAGGGGTGCTTTTAGGTATTACGGTAGGGGCCTATTCATCCCTCAGCCGTGCACTGCAGACACCACACCCCCACATCCGAAATACCATCTGGCCAGCAACCTTCACCTCTACAGGGCTGTAGAGGCTTTGATGGGACGAGGGAGCTTGGAGACCTCTTCTTCCCCGAAGCTCAGGATGGCAGAGTAGCGACGATTTCGAAGCGTTAGGATGCTTCAGATCTCCACGGTCGCGACTTAGAGGTTCATGGGTAGTTATAAGTGAGGTTAGTCGTCCCCAATATGGGTTAAAATGATAACCCATCCACGAACCTCCGTTTATGGAATGCGGCTTCGAAGAGCACTTGCGGGGTGCATGGTTTTGACGAGTGGGCAGGTGAGGGCTTGGATCACGTGCACGCATTAAGGCTTTGTGACCTCGGCGGCCTGGGCATCAAGCCTACGAGGTTGAGGTTTGCAGACGCTGCAGTATGTGAAGCTCTCCACCTAGACCCTTGTGCAGTGGGAACAAAAGCCTCCTCTAAACCTCCGCCTCGACAAGAAACCTCGTCTTCGTCTGTAGTTCAGGGTTGCCAAACGTTTAAGAATCTTCACAGAGCATGTGCCTGGTGCTCAATGAGGAACTTGCCGAAGGTGCGTCGCTTTCGGGCGAACTTCAGGGACTCCTTCCATGGGCTTTCGACTCACACACTCGCTCACAGGCAGGCATGGCTTTCAAGTCGGTCGAGCTTCCATGAGCTTTAAGTCTCAGGGTTTAGTGTAAGGAAGTATGTGGAGAAAGATAAGACCTGTTGCACCGTGACAGTGACGATGTTGCTGGCAGTGGCGATTCGCATGACAAACGCGACTTGGTGACGATGACACGCGGCAAAAGTTGTTAGATTCACAAGCTACATAAGTTCAACATACGCAACAGAGGTACTGCGGGTATGTCTTCTCGAACCACCTCGACCACCACCTCCGCCTCCACCCACCACCACCAGCGCCGCCACCACCATCAGGACGACGAAATCTACAACTACTAGAACCTAGTACTACACTGGTACTAGAGGAATGCTCTCGATGTCCTTCCCTTTCCTCCCCGCGAAGAGCTAGCGCAAGCCTGGAGGTTATGTGGCAGCAGGTTCCCTACTGACCCGTTCTTGCCAGCTCCTCCACGCAGACGCGGGCTCCGCGGTTGGCCTGGACGAGGAACATCCACCTCTCGTGGTTGAAGTTGTACATCGCCTGCATGAAGCCACCATTCAGCTTGCCGATGATGTTGGTCTTCGGCACCTTCACGTTGTCGAAGGTGATAAAGGTGGTGCCACTGGACCACATGCCAGTGCAGTCCATCTTCCTGGTCTCGATTCCCGGCATGGATCTCTCCAGCAGGAGCATGCTCAAGCCCTTCTGGCGCGAGCCGGGCGGTCCGGTCTGCACGATCACCGTGAAGTAATCGGCGTAGATGCCGTTGGTGATCCACTTCTTCTCGCCGTTCACCAGGAAATGGTCTCCGGCATCCTCGGCGCGGCATGCCAAGGCAGCAACATCACTTCCTGCGGAGGCCTCGGTGATGCAGAGGCAGATGACCTTCTCCCCGCTGAGGCACTCCCTGATGCATCGCGCTTGAAGATCTCGGTCGCCCGGAACTCCGAAGTTCACCACTGGAGGCAGGCCAATGCTCAAGCCCCCAAGCACCGCCCAAGAGATGCCGCCGCTGATGCGCGTGGTCTCCTTCGCAGTGCTGCTTGTTGCTTCTCTGCTCATCTCCCGTCTGTCTGCGTCTGTTCGTATATGCTTGCTTTGGTCCTCGAAAAAGCTTTTGCTGTAGGTTTCGTTCTCGCCAAGTTATGGGCCATGGCACACTCAACAAACAGAAAGCCTACTCCAGGACGGGACAAGGCACGTCGATCACGATGAGCTCGTGGAAGTTGTCGTAATCCTCCGGTGCCTTGCAGTCCGTGTAATCCTTGGGCCAAGGCTTGCCCACGGCACAGGCCAGAATTCCCCGCTTGCCGCCTTCGGCGTAGGTCTGGTGCATGTACTCGTGGCATTTCTCCAATTTGCCCTTCACTGCGCACTGCTCCCAGTCGTCCAGCACCGGCTCCAGAACCTCCTCGCAGTAGTCGCGCACGTACTTCCGCCAAGCAGCATGCGTGGGCTTGTAGAACGGCGTGTTCAAGCCCTGGTACCAAGCGGGGTCGCCGAGAGGGACGGCATCACCGAACGGAGGGAGGGCTGTCATGATGGCAGTGATCTATATCTCTCGACAAGTTGCAGAGCAGAGGGCTTGGGCCAAAATTGGAAGTCGGTAGCCCCTGAACCCTTACACCTAAACTTGATGGATGCCAGCAAAACAACTTAGAACTGGACCGAGGGCTCTGGCCCAGGCACCAGCACAGCAGGCACGGAGAAGAATCGAAACCGAAACTCTAAACCCTAACATGGTCATTGTTGCCTTTGTCAGGCAGGTCTCCACCCGTCTACTCGCAAGTAAGAAACACTGCCCAGCTTTTCTCCACAGAGTCTGTGCCGAGCACAAGCTATTTCATGGCTGTACAGCTGAATTGTGTCAACAGCCGAAAGCGGCCAAAATCATATACAAGCTCCACGTCGAGGAGTCAGGATAGCTATTTTGTATATCTGCTTCCACGCCTTCAGGACCGGCGTGCCGCAGTGTCAGCTAGATGCAAAAGGCCCCCTTCTTCTCACAGCCTCGCTTGGCCGCTTGAGGACTTCTTCAGTCCTTCCAACTCTTCCTTGAGCCTGAGCGCGTTTTGGAATTTAGACATGGACATGCTTTGAGATCCCAGAGGGCGGTTGTAGTTAGAGCCTTATAACTTGGTGAGAACGGGTGAGATCAGCGATCTTTAAGGGGATCTCATTCTTGTTACAGGGTGCTACAGGGTTCTCTAAAGACTCTACAGCTATTCGGATCCTTCTGCGGGTCATCTAAGGGGCTGAGTACCCTAGCCCACGAAAAGGTTAACCTTCTCAAGTATGGTAGGATTACACAAACCCCAAGGGGTCAAAGGTTTCCTGCTCAGCTACTAAGTCAAGATGGATCTTCAAGGCTTTCTCGTGTAACAAGCATCGCACTCGATATAACCCTTGTTGCTGCAGGCTTGCATGTAAGGACGCCTCCCCTAAACCTATAAGATCCTATAAGCTGCATCTTGGCGTTCCATGTCTTCGGAAGTCCAATGTCTCACTCCAGTCTGAGCTTCTTCGTTGTGGCCCTTGAGTATGCTTGCTGCTTTTTGTCCACCTATCCCCCCCAGCCTTGCAGCCGGGCTTCGAAAAGTCCTAAAACACTGCACTGTACGCTACATGCACATTCCGAAACCAGCCGAGTGGCTTCTTGATCGTCGCATCCCTGGGATCCGGCGTCGGCCTCTTCACGAAGCGCAGGCTGCCAGCGGCCAGGTTGAGCATGATCTCCTCTGCGCAAGCCGCCACTGTGAAATCCCAATCTGACACTCCGGTGCCACACATTCGCCATAACCACATTTCTCAAACCTGTCGGTCAGAAGCGACCTGCAACAGAAACCTGGGACCCAGGATGCACGTTGAGCATTTACGGATACATGCATGTATGTGCACATGTGCATGTGTGTACCTGCATTTGTGTATAACTGCATATGCAAATACATGTACATACAAGTATGCAACCGGCACACATCGGAAAACACTTCCAGTTGTAGACACACACACACATGTGCATGCAAGTGCACGTGTGTATGTATGTGAACATATATTATATATATATATATATATATATATATATATATATCCATGCACGTATGTATGCATGCATGCATGTATGTATGTATGTATGTGTGTATGCACCCACATCATCACACATCCCTCTCTCCCTCTTCATGTTACTGCACGTTACTCTACAACAGGGCTAGCTCCTATAATCATGAGCTTGACGAATGAAGCAATTGCACTCGTGCGGCCCTTGAGGCCGTGCAAACCTTGGCTTGCTACTCAATGCTAGATGTCACGAAACCACTGGGTGCAGCAGATAGCAGCCAGCAGCGAGACTGCAGCCGTGCATGCTGAAGAAACCCAAAACTGTCAAAACTGTGAAAGCTAACCTTTCCCAGGATTTGCCAGCACGGGGCCTTGCTTTTCTATTCTTACTTTAGGAGGCCAGCGATTTGGAGGCACAGCTATCGATCTTCCTAAACCGACATGAGTACACTGTCACCCTCCTCGTTGGACGAGCACAATGATATTGCAATGGCAGGTTGCTCCGCGATGAGATGTGCTCGAAAGTCATGCGATACAAACTTCGGCGAGAAAAGCGCTTCAGGAAAATCCAGCTTCAGAAGCGATGCATCCAGCACAGCACACACACACACACACTACAGGAAGGCATGGGATCTTTATAGTAAGGAACCCAAACTAAGGTACCCCTAATCTTCGGAGACACCCATGTACACACACTAATTACCTTTACTTTCCCTATTACTATTACTATTACTATTACTATTACTATTACTATTACTATTACTATTACTATTACTCTCACTATGACTACGACTATGACTATTACTATTCCTATTACTAGTACTATTACTATTTACTATTTACATACTATTTACTATTACTATTACTATTGCTATTACCATTACTATTACTATTACTATTACTATTGCTATGACTACGACTGTGACGATTGTGGGTATTGTTTCTGTTAATTAATATTACTATTACTATTACTACTACAGAAGGGCATGTGGGCTGAGTGGGCTCCTCGCTACCTCCGGGGATGGCCCAGGCTTTCACCTCGCGGTAGACGCGCTCCACCTGCTCGGGGAGCGAGGCGCCGCCATCCGTGAGCCAAGGACACACTTAGGGTTTTTCGGATGGTTTAGGGCTTTGGGTTAAGGTTTAGGGTTTAGGGCTTAGGTTTTAGGGTTTAGGGTTTAAAGTTTTGATTTATCACTTAGGGTTCAGGGTTTCCGGAGTCAGGGTCTTGGGTTCGGGGGGTTGGGGCTTAGGAATCATTGGCTCTTGACTCTCGAACTCGGAGCTAAGCAAGTTCGGGCTTACGGTTTAATGACTCGGCCTTGAGGTTCTGAGGTTCTGGGGTTCAAAACTCCACTTCTAGGGCCTTCCATGGCGTTCAGCATCAGAATTCTCTTGGATCTGCATTCGCTGGACAGCAAAGTACACCGATGAGGATCCTATCAGGCTTCCCAAAAAGCCTTCTCGCCCTGGCCGGTGCGGGTGTAGCCAGCACCACCGAAGACCTGCAGGGCCTCTCGGGCGCAGTACTCCACCGTCCTGGGATACCAGGAAAATGAAATGATGAAACGTGGGAGCAGCGTCTGCGTGCCTAGGGCTATCTGCTTTCTCCGTGCTGGAGACAAGGGGCTTCGTGGCCGAAACCTTGAGGAGGGCGATGTAACCACCGAGCTTCTTGTTCTGCTCCTCCTTGGTCCTGGGTCTGCGCGATTCAAACGTCCACGGCGGGGCTGTCGGTTGCATGCTGACAAATCTACACCGCCGTGCAGAAGATGTTCAGACTGGGATTGCACGGATTCTTCAGACCCCTTCAAAGACAAGAAGTTGCTGGATCGAGTTTGGGAGCATGGTGGTGAGCTGGAACGTCCTTGGCTGCTTGCAAGACAATGCTCAAGCTTGAACTGCCACGGACCTGGAAGTCTCCGACTCCCTTCCTCTGATGAGCTTCAAGAAAATCTTCTCTGCTAGTAGCAGCCCTCAAGTGCAACGAAAACCCTCAGTAGGGGTTTAGGGGTTTAGTGGCTCAGGGGCCTAGGGATGCTTAGGGGTGTTTAGAGGTTTTGGGTGGTTTTGGGGGGTTTGGCAGAGCGTCAGGTAGTCGATCCAGGCCTGCAGGGCCTCGCACTGGCGGCCCATCTCGCCGATCTTGTGCTGGATGACCTACGGTTTAGACTTTTTGCCTCCCAAGTTTAGGTTTTCGCAGTTTTCGGTGTTTAGGGTATAAGGCCGTGCAAGTTCAAGTTCCGGGTGCCAGCACTGGGCGGTTCTGCCGTGACCGTGCTTCAGGGTGTCTTCAAGATGGCTTGCAAACCAAAGAAACCTCAAGCCCACCAGACTAAGCCGAAACCGTGACGGTGCCTGGTGCTCGATGAGGAACTTGCCGAAGGTGCGGCGCTTTCGAGCGAACTTCAATGACTCCTTCCAAGAACGTTGAGCCTTGGGCCTACCGCTTTCGACTTCTTGGCCTATGACATCTGTACAATACCCGACCCCTTTTACGTTTTCCTTCGGGCTAGACAGTGACTGGGAGCAGCAGGACCATGGCGACAGGATAACAGCGGCGCCGCATGGCCAGGATCAAAGCAGATAAAGGCCGTTATGTGACTTACATGGCACACAGGTTGGCGGCACACATGGGGAAAGGTGCACGTGACGTGAATTTTGTGGTGGCCTTAACAATCAGAGTAGGATTTTGGGCTCCTGACAAGTAGATTTACAACAAGGAACCCCAAGGAATCACATTGGTAGTTGTTTAGGCCTCTACATTGTGTTTGGGGCATTGGGGCAAGGATTGGCTCAAACAAACGTACTGGGCTTAGGCCTGGTTTGCTTCCTAGGAAGGATGCATCCACAACATGGTTAGTGAATCAATGATCCTAATATGGGTAGTTGTCAAAATTATGGTCCCTTGTTGTGTACCCTAAATAATAGGTGCCGTATTATAATAGGGACCCAAAAAGGGGCCAGAATTTTGACCACCACCCATATTCCAAACTCGATGGCCGGACGCAACCAGCACCTGTCCTCCACGCAGACGCGCGCCCCGCGGTTGGCCTGGACGAGGAACATCCACCTCTCGTGGTTGAAGTTGTACATCGCCTGCATGAAGCCACCGTTCAGCTTGCCGATGATGTTGGTCTTCGGCACCTTCACGTTGTCGAAGGTGATGAATGTGGTGCCGCTGGACCACATGCCCGTGCAGTCCATCTTCCTGGTCTCGATTCCCGGCATGGACCTCTCCAGCAGGAGCATGCTCAAGCCCTTCTGGCGCGAGCCGGGCGGTCCGGTCTGCACGATCACCGTGAAGTAATCGGCGTAGATGCCGTTCGTGATCCACTTCTTCTCGCCGTTCACCAGGAAATGGTCTCCGGCATCCTCGGCGCGGCATGCCAAGCCAGCAACATCACTTCCTGCGGAAGCCTCGGTGATGCAGAGGCAGATGACCTTCTCGCCGCTGAGGCACTCCCTGATGCATCGCGCTTGAAGATCTCGGTCGCCCGGAACTCCGAAGTTCACCACTGGAGGCAGGCCGATGCTCAAGCCCCCAAGCACCGCCCAAGAGATGCCCCCGCTGATGCGCGTGGTCTCCTTCGCAGTGCTGCTTGTTGCTTCTCTGCTCATCTCCCGTCTGTCTGCATCTGTTCGTATATGCTTGCTTTGGTCTTCGAAAAAGCTTTTGCTGTAGGTTTTGTTCTCGCCAAGTTATGTGCCATGGCACACTCAACAAACAGAAAGCCTACTCCAGGACGGGACAAGGCACGTCGATCACGATGAGCTCGTGGAAGTTGTCGTAATCCTCCGGTGCCTTGCAGTCCGTGTAATCCTTGGGCCAAGGCTTGCCCACGGCGCAGGCCAGAATTCCCCGCTTGCCGCCTTCGGCATAGGTCTGGTGCATGTACTCGTGGCATTTGTCCAAGTTGCCCTTCACCGCGCACTGCTCCCAGTCGTCCAGCACCGGCTCTAGAACCTCCTCGCAGTAGTCGCGCACATACTTCCGCCAGGCAGCATGCGTGGGCTTGTAGAAAGGCGTGTTCAGGCCCTGGTACCAAGCCGGATCGCCGAGGGGGACGGCATCACCGAAAGGAGGGAGGGCTGTCATGCTGGCTGCGATCTATCTGTCAACCAGTTGCGAAGCAGAAGGCTTGGGCCAAAATCGCTCGTCAAACCAATGTGCGTGCCATCAACACAGCTTGTCCTCGCAGCATTTTCAAGTTGGCATCAAAACATTGTCCGGATGACAACAGGGGACATCTTCTGAGTGATGCTCATGCAGACAAGGCACTGTACCAGACATTATTGTCACGGTGTCGCTCTCATTCCTGGCCGCAACCGACATAACGGAAGCAATGACGGAAGCTGTCGTGATGATGACGGTGATGAGAAAGTAGTGCAGATGATGCTTGGAGAGATCAAGAACGCAACGGCGACAATGGTAATTACAACCAGTATGACCATGTCGGCGATATTGCATACAACGACGGTGACGGCGAAAACGACGACAACGACGATGGTTCTTATGAGCAGGAGGAGCAGGAGGAGGAGGAATTTGGTGGTGATGATGGTGGAGATAGTTGCAACGCATACGCAATGAACGATCCAATAGGACATGATGCCCACTTCTTGTACTGCTGATGCTGGTCATGATAGCACTACAGATGCTGCTGATGGTTGGTGGCTCATTGATTCAACTATCTTTCCTGTTGCTTGCGCTTTCTTTCTCGATCTCGCTGGCAAAGTGTTGCAAGCCCAGCTGATGATACTTTCGCTTGCTCTTTGTGCTGTTCTGGAAACTAAACTGCAGGCGTGTGCATGAATTTCCTCATTTTTCTGTTGAAACGCCTACGTATGCAGGAGAATTTGCCTGCTTCCTTCAACTAGCCTGGAGCTCCATACAGACAATCACTCTGTAGCACCAGATGCACAAGCCGTCCAAACTGCACGCTCCTCGCTGTCGTCAGTGAGCTCTGCCCAGGCCGCCGCCGAGTGAGCTGTGGCTGCACATCTTCTTCAGTCCTTGACACACACTGTCTTTACCAATGACTTCTGGTTCTGAAGCACACGGGTTCCCGAGCTCCGGTTACGGAGAGTCGGAGATGCTGAAGGAAGAAGTCCAATACTCTAATTATTGCCGAGGCACAAGGCGAGGTTCGCGGGAATGCCATCCACAATACATCCCACACCCACGCCGTGTGACTCGCCAAACGTTGATACCTGCCAAGAGTTCACAGAGCATGTAACGCGCAAATGCCCGCACGCCAGGCTCCACGGCTGGCTAGTCCGAGAGCCTCACCACTCCACCCGTGACCGTGTTTCAGCAACGGACTATGTCCACGCTGGCTTTGAGCTAAAGCTAGCTACGCACTTATGGCCGACCACTGGGAAGAACAAATGCCATCGACCTGCCTCATAAGTTTACGGTATTATAATTTTTTCAAATATGAGGTAATTTGTTCTTAAAAGTTCCATGGGCCTGTACCAAATATCAGCCTGAACTTCCAAAACAATCCAGAATAATATGCGTCCATAACCCAGCGCCAGCGCCTTGAAGAGCGTTCCAAAGGAGCTCATTTCCAAGCTCGGCCCCCTGGAGCAAAGGCCTGACAAGAACCGACCAAAGTTGCGAAACAAAACACAGCTGCTAGGCCCAGTGCCATCACGCCCCGACCCAAAAAAAACTTCTGCCAGCCAGGCACCCCAGAGCCGGCGTCGTCCTCGACCAAAACTGTCCCGGATGGATGTGCAATGCAAGGCTTGGGCCAACAAGGCGGGCCAGCACGAGTGTGACGGTTTGAGGTTTGATCTAGGGGTCCGGGGTTCTGAGTTTTTGGTTTCGAACGATGCTTTATCAATGGGATTACCCTGGCCGGTGCATGGCTATGCTTCCAACGAATTGACATGTTGCTCGAAGCAGGCTGCATCACAAACCTCGAAAACCCGCGCTTTGGAGAACAAACTTCCTGGAGATGGTTCTGTGAACCAATTCAAAACGGATGCCCCCTACCCTGCATGTGGGGATATGAGGAGAAACCACTACAGCACATGGAAAACTATTGCCTACGGATCACGTCTCTGACTCTGCAGCCAATTCCATTGCCCATTTTCCGTGCTCTTAACATTGCTTCTTTTGTTTCTTCTTGCGGCTACCTGAAACACCTGGGCAGATCCTTGGCTCCGGGCATGCCTCCAACGCAATCGACCGGCCTGTGTTGCTAGCTCATACAGGAACTCATGCACTTGGAAAAGAAATGAGGGGCATATCCACGGATTAAAAAATACTAGATCCGTCCACATCCTTCTTCCCACCACACGGCGCAGTTGCCCACCAATGTATGTGCGAAAATGGGGATCCTCGACTTCATTGATTCGATATTATAATCACTAGCATCTGGTCCACCCCGTCCCCAGTTGCTGTAGTGCCGTCTGTGGTGCGACATAAACTGTTCACCACACGTCCGAGGCCTTGTTCGTTAACAAGAATGTTTTCGTCCGTCACCTTGCATGATGTGTGTATGCATGCTTGGTACAATATAGCCAAATCGGCGAAAGCCAACCAAACAGCAAACCAACGAATGGTGGACCATGCTGGAGCCGGGCGATGAAGCGGCTGAGAAGAGCCGTCTGCCGTTTCCACCGCAACTGCAGTGGCGCATCTAGGAAACAGCAGCGCTAGTTCGGATCTGCCAAGGGAGAAAAATTTTCTTCCCCAGAACAACCCACGCTTGGTATTGTGTGGGGACCGGTGCGACAACCGGCTACATGGAGTGGCAAGCCACGACGCCCGTTTCAGACGGACACCGGCTTGTGGCAATGGCTATTAGCTTGCCCGTTTAGCAGTTCACTGCACCACGCGGCATGCTGCGCTCCTGAACTTGTGGGCACAGGCACGAACGCTAGCCTTTTGGAGCTTGCAGGAGCTGTCGATCACAACTTATTTGCTAGGTAGTTCCATGGGTGCAACGAGGGCCTCTAGTTTTCAAGGGCGTCATAACAAGGATGTAAGTGTCGGGTGGGTTGCGCCCAAAAAATGCCAGGTGTTTGTCATAGCATCTGCCTTCGGCTGAGGTGTATGGCTCACCGGATACGCTCGAGCGCAGTCGGCCTAGAGGTTTGGGATGGTTTGGGATTGGGCGGGACCACGTCGATTTAGACGCCAATGAAAAGGTCCGCGCAAAATCAGGTGCTTTGCCACTTGCTCCTGCGCGATTCGCTTGTGGGCGTCCGCTTGATGCCTTGGGTGACCACGTCTCTGTTTCCCTCGTGTTTTGAAGGGGTGGACCACTGAACGTGCAGCTGCTCGCGTCTGCCGAGAAGCTGGAGCTGCAGTCGCCGCAGACGAATTTGTGCGAGATGTAAACTTCCAGACATTATGAATGCCGCATTGAGGTGATCGCGAACTTTCGGTGGAGCTCCCACCTCAAGTTTGGGCATGGTCACCGGTGCACCCCAGACGGTTGTGAAGTCTTGGTTGCGTCATGTACGCGATGCCGTATCTCGGCAACTCCAAGTTGTTTTATCTGCACTGACCCTTGGCGCGCTACGCTCGATGGCAGACACGACCGCACCTACGCAGGGTCGTTTACAGGCATGCTTGTCCCACGGCTGCCAGATTCTGGGGTCTGGTGCGTCGTGGACATGATGAGTTTTTGGTCGGTCGGTTTGCGCGTCATTGCAACGGTATGGTACTGCACTCATGCCGATTTTGCGCTAATGGTTTTGACTCCCTGTCTCATACAATCTTGGATGGTGTTGCCTATTCCCAACAACGCCGCCGCTGGCGACAGCAAACTCGGAGATCAAACATAGTGAGCGTGGAAACACTCTTCAGCACAGACCAAACCATGAACACAGCACGTGACATCTTGCGCAATGTCGTGTTTGTTGCCACCATCTGCCGCGATGCGTCGGCGTGTGAGATGTGAACGTGGATCCAGATCCACTCTCTGACTGAGCTGGCCATTGATGACATTGTATTTAAATGTGTTACTCCTTCATTGTTTGTACGTGTGTGTGTTGGTTCTTGTTTTGCATATTTTGGCATGTTGAAACTATGATCATGACGATGGTTTCACTTCTGAGTGTGTCTCATCGTTCAAGGACACCTCTCTTTGGTCGTTGGAGTGCCGGTGTGACTTCCTCCGGTTGCGCGCGGGCCTGGGCGTGCAGCGCCGCCGCGTCCCTGCGCGCTGTGTGTGTTGCCGCCTCTGTCACACGGGGTCCGGACTTCTGTCCATTGCAGCTGCACGTTCCCAGCTGCCAATTCCCTTTTTCAACACCGCCAATTTTGATGGCCAGGGTTGAGTGACCGCGTCGCTGACTCGTTCGACACTCCTCCGCTCACCTATGCTCACCTCCCGCATGGGGTGATGTTGGTTTCGTACTTAGGATGGTTGCGCCTGCCCTTGCCACTCGCGCCTCGCCACTGCCGCTGCCATGGACCGCTCGACCCGCTTGGTGACCACCGGTCCGCGTGCGCCACATCCGGCGTGCTTGCCAGCCGTGGCTCAGTAGTTTGCTGCATGGGGACCGCGCCCGGATGCTTGCCAAAAAGTCCGTGAGGAAAATAATCACGTTAAACCCGAAGCTAACTTTCGGGCATGGTGTGGACTGCTGGCAGGGGCCTTCGATTTTGTCGACAATACATGTCTTGTTCATGTCCCGGTGTATCGACCAAATCTCTGCGCATGCCGTTGACATGTTTGACCGCCGCCCGGCTCATACGGCCCAACATCGTCCCGCCGGCTTTCACCCGCTGTTGTGCTGGGGATATTGATCAGCCACCCAAGGGAGCGCCAGCCAGCTCCCGTAAGATCGGGCCAAGCGCATAACCCGAGCGGTAGCGCGCTGCGGAAGCGAACGTAATCGCGCACGATAGCTAGGGCCCGACCTCCCACAAGCTTGGCTTGTCGCGCAAGCAATCCCGTGTGCGGAGATGCCGCGGCATCTTCCCCCAAAGGATTCGGGACCGCCGCAACGAGGTGCGCTCTTACCGCAACATCCTTTTACATCCCGAAAGCCCGAATCCACAGTGCTTCAACACGCTGATCAGCTGGCCACGGTGTTTGAAAGGAATCGACACGACATTGGCAGCAACGGCAAGGTTTAGGTATAGGCTTGCACTGCTCTGGCACATCGCTCTCTCTTTTTCACCGTACTGGATCTGTAGGCTGTGCTGCTAGCAAGGAAGGACCGAGGCTGCAGGGCAGATTCAATCTAAAGCGAAACCCCCCTGGCTAGGCTTTGTGACAAGGCGAGTGAAAAGGCATGCAGTCGGCGAGAATTAATAGCTGAGCAAGCCAAGGCAAATTAACAACGTGTGAAACGAACCTAAATTCTTCTGACAGGGCAGTCTGAAACCGAAGTACAGCAAAGGCTGAAGCCGAGTCTGGGGCACAGCGGCTTTGTAGCAGAGCGATCGAAGCGGGCTCTGGGCGTGAAACCGGCTGCCTGGTACCTGTGAAAAGTCACCGAGGCTGCATTCAAAAGACATTGAAGGCATAGTAGCTGTAAGGCACCTGAGCAGGAGCGGTTCGGGAGGGAAACCAAGGGTTCGGGCCTGAGGGGCGAGCAGCGGGAGGACGAGAAGGCTGAGAACCTGAGCCCAAGGCAGTGTGAACCGAACCTATACAAAGGCTATTGGGCGGCAACTTGGAGTATTGGCTCCAGGCAAAGAAAGCATCGACCTGAGGCAGGCCGAGAATGTGTTGGCTTGTGCAACTGAGCAAGGCTGGCAAGCGTCGGAGTGGCTTTGCAAACCGAAACCTTGACGCCCAGCTGTATGACTGCTGGTGCGTGTACATGTTGAGCCGACAGAAATAAGGCGTGCGTGGGCGGGGCTTTTCGAATAGAGCCAGGCTACACGCAGGCATGTGGGCATGACAGCGTGTAGAGATTCAGAAGCACCAAAAACATTCTTGAAACAAGACCGGTAATGTTGAATTTGAACATATCTGAACCAAGAATAACGACGGTGTGGCATCTTACTCGGGGTCTTTTACAAGGGCAGCCTCAGCGTGTTGGCTCAAAACCGACTAATTATGATCTGCTGGAGCCATCATCATGCCAAAATATTATACGATGCTGAAATCTCCAATGCGGCCGCTCGTGGCGACCCTTGTTGCTTTTCGCTGCACGCCTTGTTCCGCGTGCGAAACAGGGACCGCTTCGGCACTACGGTTTACGGCAACAGAAGCGCGACCGCACGGGGGAGCTAGCGCGCTTCGGCGAGGACCTCATGCAGCTCCGGCCCGGTGGCCACCGCTGCTGCGTGCTGTCACCAGCCAGTCCCTGACATTCCCGTTTTTTTGCGGATGGCCGGCGGCAGTGTAGGAAACAGAGGTGGTTTCAACTTGTCCGGTTCTACCCCCTTGCCTACCCCGATGCTCGAACAGCTTTATTTTTATTTGCGACACTATTGCCTGCTACATGCACACGTATCCAGAACTCGCCGGCAGCCGACGCTGCCGCTTGATCCTTGTCGGCGTCGAAGTTGCTGGCGGTTTGGTGCTGAGGCGGTGCAACTCCGGCACCTGCTCGCAAGGCACCAAGCCGCCGCCGTCCCCACCGCGTCCTGACCAACCGCGATCACTGCCTGTATGACGCGCTGGTCCGGGCTTTTGGCCGTCGCTACCCAACGTTGCCTCCGCACACGGAGGCTCCCTGTGCCGTCGGGGCGAGCGGGCGACTTGCGGCCTCGTGCGAAGCCTTCCCCGAAATCGCGAGGCTGGACGACATCGACTTGGCGGAAGCGCTGCCTCAACGTCCCGACAATCCAGGAAATCCCACATTTTTGCGAAGCGCAACACAGCGCTTGTGCAGGCGCTCGAGGAAAACCAACGCCGCGACCACGAATAAATCGAGGCCCTCCGCCTTCTTGCAACAGAACTGACGCGAGTAAATG